AAATTGCCTTTCGGGGACATATACGTTTTCTAAGTCAGGTATACTAACTCAACCCTGCTTAGCTTCAGTAGGCAATCAGTCTTGGGCTACAGGGTGATTTGACTGCTGTTTAACCGATTCATTGAGGAATTAAACACTTTTGCTACATGCAACAATTCTGCTGATATTTTGTTTGGATAAATTTTCATTAGCAATCGAAGCAACAGATAAAGTAAATTATCTAATTCGTAACTTCTTTGTTTACGATTTCAATCGTATTATTGGGCTGAATATCAGTCAGTGTTGATTTTCTATTGTTGATATTCAGAACTCTTTCTAGATCATGTTATTGCTTATAGCAATGTTCTCTTAAAATACAGAAACCTTTGACCGACTCGATACAGTTGATAACTCTACTGTTGTTGAGGCGACTGTGCTTCAAGGTTAGCTGTCATTTGTTCTGTTTTATTCAGATCACATGTCCTTGTTGCGTTTGAGCAAGTCAGCATACTGTAGATTCCAACAATGCCAGTCTCAGTCCATGGTCAGATATGGTTGTTTGAATGTTATCTGGCTTTGACTTCAGCGGAGAGGTGCTGCTTTAAGAGACTGTCTGATTGCAGTGTTTTGCCTAATTTTGACTCCCTGCCAAATGATTACCCCCTCGCTGGGGCTGCTACCTGATTGCCTAATCATAACCCCACCCCCTTAATCTTGAGTCCACCCTCAGACCTTGTTGGGGAATTGACCTATGACTAACCCATGCCCCTTCCACTCACTCGGACACACAGTCAGTCAACATTCGGGGACGGGCGCTATGGCAGTAGGAGACATTTCACAGGAGGCAATTGGTGATTTTTGGTGACAGAAAGGTTATATATCATCTCAAAGTCACCTAAAGGGCCTTACCTATGCATTGGGTGGTTATATTAGTAATTTTATTATTGAGAAGATGAAAAGCTTCAGCTCCAGGCAAAAATGTACTAGAACCAGACCGATATATCAGCAGGACGATATTATCGGCCGATATTAGGCATTTTCCAAACTATCCGTATGGGCAGTTATAATGGCCGATAAATCAATATTTCAAAAATAAAATAAAAACGGACAACACGCTTGAACCATGTCATTAAGTGTCGGAGTTGTATAGTTTGTCCACCAGAGGGCACTCTACTCAGTCCCTGTTGGCAACACTTGTTGAGTTGGTCACGATACATACATTGCTTGAATAACAATTAAAAGAACATCTCCATCAGTTCTCTTAACTCAAATAAGCATGATAAAATTTGTGACTATCATGTCCAGTTTTGCTGCTGTTAAATAAGCCGAGAGTGAAGCGGAATTTGCTAGTAATAGTTATGTTACGTTGTTACAGTGTAGTTGACTGACTGTCCTTTTAACTTTTGACAATGTGACTGAAGTATTTCTTTAATAGCGCGTGACCGTTAAAGCAATGAAACGCATCATCTCTCCTTGGCCTGTTATATTGAACATGTATGTTTTACAATTTGCAGTATGACGTTATCCATTGCTAAATTATGGCTCGTCATAGACTAGCTAACCACAAAGCTAGCTAATGCCACTATCATCAGTCTGTTCTCTTGTGACAATAAAAGAAACAAGTTTCTTTTTTAAAATGCATTATCATGTTATTTTAATTAAAACTCATAAATAACTGCAAATAACTAATGTTAGGGATATCTGTTAATGTTTTGTTGCACGTTTCTGATTTTTTATTTTTATTTTAAATATCGGCCGATATATCGGATTTTAAAACCAACAAATATTTTTATCTGCCTTCAAAATCCTTTATAGGTCAGGCTCTAAAATGTACAGGTCAGTGTAAACGTGGTAAACCGCATATCGTTGGCATCACCGTTTGGTGCTACAGGCCCCTTTGTTTATTATGTCTTGATTTAATGATTTTTTTAATATATATATTAGGTATTCATGTACACTGTGTTATTTATCTATTGTAGGATGTTATAATGTATAATGTTTTAGTTTTAGGGGACAAATAAAGTGTTTTGAAATTGAAATTAAATATTTAATATTTTTCGGATCGTTCTCTCTATTTTCCCCTCCAGACGGGACAGAAGAAAGTCATACGGGTTTGGAGCAACGTGGAGAAAATGACAAAGATTTCCTTTTTAGTTGCAGAAGTTGCTGTAAACTTTGATCAGATCTCTTTGATAAACCGTGATATCATTATTGTAAGGCTCATGTGACGCATTAGTAGCCCAGAGGTGTTCATCTCAATGATAGCTTGCAATGACTTGACCAGTCACCTCTATTATTGCCTCTGTCTCAGCAATTTTCTGTTCCTTCACTCACCGGTGGCTCGAGGCAGCCGAACAAGTCTCTGATTATTTAGAACATGGATAATTCATCTTACGGTATTGATTCAATTCTCCTTGGTGCTGTGAGAAGAAATAAGAATTTGTTTTTCTCCTTTCCCTCTTCAGGAGATGTTATTATGTATTAGTAGAGCTTGCCTTAGCAACTTTTTTTTTTTTTTTGCAAAAATCCTCATATGTATTGTATTACACTTTGGTGTGTAAAACACCATTTGTGCAACAGACATGAATAATACTTTATGATCATGTTTTACATGATCAGACTTGGCGCATCCACCCTTGCAATAAGATCATTTATTTATTTTGTTTCAGAAGAAAAATCAAAGAAATCCATTAAAAATGTGCTGTAAAAGCTACTTGCGCTGTTTGAACTGTCTCCATAAGACTTATTACCCATGATCTGAGAGTAATTGGTGGCTGCTGATTTTTAAAGTCTGGTGTCGGCTGCCACACTGAGTATCTGTTCGACACAGGTGGATCAATAGGAAATGGGGGCCGCTAACACAGGCATTCAGATATAATGCCCTGTGGCTATTCCTCATGCGTGCCGAGCATACCGAACATCTCCAATAATTGTTCAGTTTCTTTAAACTCTTTACCTTGGTCTTCTAAGAGGATTTGTCAGATGTTCTTTTTGTGGATGACAAACACTTAATAACATTTATCATCTCCTGACAGCTGGTTTGTGAAATAAGTACTCTTTGTAAATGAAATGGGTTAAAAGAAACCATTATTGCTTGTTGTATTAACATATTAATACTCTAAATGGTAATTCTCCTAAAGCTGTGGGTTGTTAAACAAAATAGTTTTGCTTTTTTTGTTTATTCTGCTTTTTTTTTCACAGCGGCATTGGCAGGATGTAAAAAAAAAAAAACGATTGTGTATTTCAAATCCATTTATTTAAGTATAATACAAATCCATTAACATATTTACTGACATATCACTTGAGACTTACTGATATAAATATTACAATTAAACTATCTAATGCACAATGCACATTTGACCGGTATTTGGAAGGTAGAGTTATAAAATAAGTGGGCTGGTAAGGAAAGTCAAGTAAAAAAACAAGTTATGTGTTTTTTATTTTAGAGATTATGATGTCGATTTGTTCACAGTGTCTGCCTAATCAGCAACATTTTTGGCATCATGTTTCTTTTATAAAAAAAAGCAAAAATGGACTGGAGTCAATGAAAAACTGATGTAAATTGACATTCCAACAATTCCCAAATTTCGTCTTAATTTTCTACGTTTTTTTTTTCTAATCAGCTATGTACATTTAGGGTTTTATGTTACATTTAATGTTGTTAAATTAATGCTTATTGTATTTTTAAAATTTCAACATGTTACCATGATAGTGTTTAATGTTTGTGTGAATGACGCTGTGCGGCTTCTAAATATTAGTATTAACTTTCTTGTGATCATTTGACTTTCATTTCTGCTGTGATTGTTGGCCGTCTGTGTATTACAATAGAACAAAACAGATATCAAAAGGGCAGTAAATTAACGTTATTTCAGATAATGAAATGCGGTTTATTGCTGTAAAATGATATACGGTTAAAAGTCAGTAAAGCCTAAAATGTTGCTACCGTATTTTTAACAGGAAAACTTTTTTTCCTGTAAATTTATCAGATTTATTTTTTACAATGTACAAATGTGGTCAACATTATGGCTTAAATGCTGTAACCCTAACGCTAACCCAACCCTAACCCTAACTTAACCTAGAAAATTAGGTCAATTTTAGGACTGCCCCTAACTTAAAGAGATACTCCACTTTTTCGGAAATAGGCTCATTTTACCAATCCCCCAGAGTTAAACAGTTGGGTTTTACCGTTTTTGAATGTATTCAGCCGATTTTTTTGATATTTAGAAGAATATCAGTAACCAGACAGTTTCTGGTCTCATTGACTGCCATAGTTGGAAAAAAATATATACTATGGAAGTCAATGAGACCAGAAACGGTCTGGTTACTGATATTCTTCTAATTATCAGAAAATCGGCTGAATGGATTCGAAAACGGTAAAACTCAACTGTTTAACTCTGGGGGAGTGGTAAAATGAGCCTATTTCCAAAAAAAGTGGAGTATCCCTTTAAGATTTTTCTAGCACCTCCATGTGATGCAGTAAGCATGCTAATATTTTAGCATACATTACACACTTAGATATGCGTCTAATAATGGCACACATTTATCTAGGCGAACATTAGAGCAAGCGACAAAGTAAAGTTGCTAATACTTGCGCTTCAAATAATAAGCCATATTTGACGCCAATGAGCGTGATGAACTAACCGACTATTCAAATTTTGGTCGGCTAAGCCTCTACTCATCTACTAACGATTAATCGACTATTAGTCCATTTTGATTCCAATTGGGGGAAAAAAAATCTCAACAACCGAAACTTCCAATTTGTGTTCTTCCATTGCTTGCCGTAATGTGTGCAGTCCTCCAATATGTTGAGCTGATGTAGAGCCATCTAAATGATAATGACACAATGAAATCCTCTGAAAATCACTCCGCGCTGAAGGGGATGCATATGTGCCTGTCAGTTCAAAGACACTTGGCAATTCCTGCTCGGAAAGAAGGGATCCTTCCTTCGGTGGTTGGTTGCTATGGATATCTCTCAAAAGCTCTTCGAATAATGGCACATCCCACCTCTGATGTCAGAGCTGTTGATGTGTGTGTAAAGAGGGAGGGAGCTGAAGCCTGTTGCTCATATCATCAAATGTGCCGCCAGCACTCCAGAAGCTCCAGAGCCTGTTGAGGGATCAGATAGAGTTGCATTTTTCCTTCTTCGTTTTTAGTAAAAGAGAAAGAATCTTTCATTCCTAGACAGCATGAACACTCCCAACTACAGATGAACTACGGTAAGTATTTCCAAGTAGTGTTGGTGTGCATGCCGTTTTCTTTTTCTGCTTTTGGCAGTTTTGTTTTGTTGAAGTTTAATCTGAGAATGCAGGTGACGAGATGTTCTGAATGCAGGGTTTTCCCCAATCAAAGATTAGCTAGAAAGGGATATTGTGTTTGTGTGACCAGAAACACGCAGTGTCCTGTGAGTCAGTGAAGTACTGCGCTAGTACAGGCTGCCCAAATCAGATCAGCGCTCGTAAGATTGCAGCTTGGGGACTGAGCGCGAACGAGAGAAGATAAAATAACATCGGTGGAAATTTCAATGCATAACCATCATCCACCTTAGTGCATTTATTTTTTCCTTAGTAATTGGGCTTTATAATATGATATGCAGATTTATTAATCAAAGTACTCACAATTATTTGAAAATATTTGCTGATAAAAATTTAAAGGGACAGTTTGATTCCCAAAATCGTATGACTTTCTTTCTTCAGTGGAATGCAAAGGAGATTTTAAAGTCTCAGTGTGTTTGTCTTTACAATGAAAGTCAATGGGGTCCAATGTCGTTCGGTTCCCTGCGTTCTTCAGAATATCTTCTGTTGTGTTTTGCAGAGGAAAGAAAGTGTTTGGAACAGCATGAGGATGAGTAAACAATGGCGAAATGTTATTGTGGGAAAGCATTGAATGGATAAAAGTGGCTTTAGAAATCAATATATTGTTCATTTTGATCGTTCTGCGGGCTTGCATGCAACACGGATTAATTCAGTTGTGTTTGTCCTTGAGGTGGATTTAGAGTCTGTTCACACGCATGTGCTCAATTGTCTTTAAATGTGTGCTTTTCGCTGTCCATAAAATGAAAGTTAATGGGGTCCAAGGTTGTTCTTGTTCTTAAAAATATCTTCCTCTGCGTTGTTTGGTGCTGTGTGTTCCCATCGAACATCCGTAAAACATGATGGTACAAATTAGCTTCCAACCTCTTTTGCATTTATCAAACATTTTATTATTTATATATTTTATTTAATCGCAAAATCATTTGTATTCAATTTAATTGACAGCCCTTAGCCCTAAATATTCAATATATTACACTTCTAAAATGTATTCACCTTACTGCACATTCATTTTCACAGTTCTATATTTAGTAGTTTAGTGTGTAGATAAACAGTACTAGCGTGCTGTGCACCTTTTTATGTTTAATGTGAGATATTTTATATGAAATCGCTGTATATGGCAATAGCATTGTTTTTTTTTTTTTCATCTTATGTTTTATTTTATGTCATTGCACTCTCTGAAAAATGCTGGGTTGTTTTAACCCAATTTTGGATAAAATATGGACCCAAATGTTGGGTTAAAAATGTAACCCAATGGCTGGGTTTGTCCATATTTTACCCAAAATTGGGTTAAAACAACCCAGCATTTTTCAGAGAGTGCAATAGCATCAGTTTATATCTAATTCCTGTGACTCATGTTCATTCTTGCGCTTGTTTTGTCCTGAGAACTGACAAATTGTCATGAGCGGTATTCAATTTCAAAAACGATGCCATTACCAAATGACAGCAGTCAAAGTGAGTCAAATTGGTTTAATTTAACAGCGCCATTTATCCATAATTCACAAATGCATCTCTTAATGTTCAAGCCCTGCGTTTGACTTTTTGAATTGCACTTCCTGTTAAATATTTTCTATTAGATTTGGTCGTGTGTAAAGCTAGTGCATCTTTCTATTTTTGGCATTTACAGTGCATTCAATCAACATCAGGATCTATTTGGGCTTTTTAATGGTTCATACGAAATTGATGTATAAATTGATGTATGAACTTCATGATGTATAAATTTCATGATGTATAAATTGAGTCCAAAAGTCTGAAACCACTTAAAAAAATGTTAAACAAGGAAAGGTTATGATGTGAAAAGAGTCTAATTTAGGACTGTGATAATGTAAGTGCACTGAAGATCTCAAAATCATGCTGGAGAACATGATCATTAGGTGAAGGTGTAGCTCCAGGGATGATTTCTACTTACATTTTTAACTGAGAAAATCATTTGCAATGAAAAATCAGTGGTTTCAGACTTTTGGACTTCACTGTAGTGTTAGCACATATCAACACAGCAGGGTTATAGATCTCACTGTGGGCGGTTTGGGAAGAGTTGGTGACACTTAGTCATAATGAAGTTTCTTGGTTGAGTGGCATCTAGGGCCATGAGTGGGAATGAATGGTCATCATTTCCCCAAGGTTGGAACGTGTCCCATCGTTGAATCATCAGCGTGGTGTAGCGGTAACTCGGACGGGTGGCTTGATGTTTCATTTGCATATTATGAATTTCAAGTTTGAAAATGAATGAGATAAAAATGAGTTTATCAGTTTAACTAAGACAGTGATTCACTGTGTGTCTCTGACAACTTCCTCTCCAGCTATTCGCATGAGAGATGGACTCGCACTCTGAGTTTATTGAGAAGAGATTAGATCTCAAACAAAGGTTTTGCATAAACCTGTAGGAGTTCAGATTGATTCGACTACAGGGAAGGAACAGCAGCTTTAACTCACCCGAACTGCATTTTATTTATTTAGCGTTTAGTGTGACTATTTAGCGTTAATGGGAATCAAACTCATGACCTTAGTCTTGCTTTAGCATGTTATACTGTTTTAAGAACTAGAAATTGCCGTGTTATTTGGAAAATCATGTCATATAATTACCGAGAATGTAGAAAGACATTCATATTAGTGCTATCTCTTTGGTTTAAACATATGGGCCCTATCTTGCACCCGGTACAAATGACTTTATACACAGATGCATGTATCATTCCATTTTGCACCTGCGCAAAGTGGGCTTTTCCCTTCAAAGACGCATGTCGGTAAACTGGGAAATGAACTTGCACTCCCTGGGCGGATCGTCGCAAAAAGGAGGCGTGTTTTTATTTTACAGTTCCAGAAAACAATTGCGCCACTGCCCTGAAAATCCTAGTCTAAAGTCAGTGGCGCGTTGTTCTTAATGCTATTTTAAGCACGCTGGCCATAATGTAGCTTTGATTCTCTCATCAACACAGATGCGGCAGTTTTTATTTTTGCAAATCATACATTATAACAATGAAAGATATTAACACATGAGGGAAATCATTTTGGTGTCCATGAAGATGTAAAAAAATTTAGGCCTAAATCTAGCTTACACATTTACCCAATTTTTTCAGGCTAATTGTAGTAATTATGGATCAGACCTGTTTTCCAAACAGTGGCAAGACACATGTATATACGAACATCTGACAAATTAATTTGTCCGTCAAAATCCCCCCCCAAAAAAAATCTCCCATCCCCATACAACGTCACTTCTCTCTTTCACTGCCCTGACAAGAACGTTGGTCTCCTCGGCTGTGAACGCTCCTGGGTCGCGCCTGGTAAATCCACCATAATAATAACAATCTGCCATGCAACATGCGCTACTGATCTTAAAGGGTATGTTGGATGACGCTCTGATTGGTTTATTTCATGTTACGCCCAAACCACAGCCATTTCAGACAAACCCCTTTTAAACTTGCGTCGGGCGCAAGAGTCTTTTATCCCGCCGGTAAAATAGCAACAGCGCCCAAGACCCACCCATAAAGTTACTTGCGCTTCGCGCTTGACATTTGCGTTCCAGATCATTAAAATAGGGCCCCTAATGTTAATACAACTAATTGCAGTTAAATAAACAAGAACAAAAATACAATTTAACTTGCTTAAGTGTTCAATGTATTTTAACATTTGCATTGTAAAGGTAAAACTTTTATTTAGCAAGGAGGCATTAAATTGATCAAAAGTGACAGTAAAGACATTTATAATGTTACAAAAGATTTATATTTAAAATAAATGCTGTTCTTTTGAGCTTCCCATTCTGTTCAAAGAATCCTTGAAAAAAAAAAGCATCACATTATCCACAAAAATATGAAGCAGCACAACTGTTTCAACACTGATAATAATCATAAACATATCTTGAGCAGCAAATCTGCATCTTAGAAGGATTTCTGAAGGATCATGTGACACTGAAGATGGGGTAATGATGCTGAAAATTTAGCATTTTTGAGTGAAAGCAAATTAGTTTCTTCTGCTGAACAACACTAAAGAAGATATTGTCAATTAGGCATCAAATAGGCTCAGGGCCACATTGAGTTTCATAGTATTTCAAGTCACTTCGAAATAATAAATGTATACAGGTTTCGAACAACGTGAGGGTGAGTAATGATGACAGGATTTTGGGTGAACTATCCCTTTAAGACCAGGAACAAAAGAGAAAATCCTGGCTTGTGACTTTAAAAGCGGTTGGTTTTGCTGGGATCTGCTCAGGGGCCAGTTTTATGTCCTTACACTGCAATTTCAGGTTCAAAGAACACGTCCCAGACCCCGAGAGCTTTAGTGATTTACAATGACAAAGGGCTTCATCAGCTTCATGTGTATTGAAAAAGAGCTTTTTTTTAATGAGCAGGGTTAATGTCTTTTCATACCTTTATGTGCAGCGTAATTGTAAACTGTGGTCAGGGTATTGCAATTATAATGGTCATTCTCTGTTCGCTGAACAATGCTGGGTTGTTTCAACCCATATTTAGGTCAAATACGGACAACCCCAAATGCTGGGTTAAAAATGTATTAAAAAAATGTACAGTTGAAGTTGGGTTAAAATTTTAAATGACATTTTTAACCCAACATTTGGGTTTGTCCATTTTTGACCCAAATTTGGGTTAAAACAACCCAGCATTGTTAAGAGTGTTGGTCCAAAATGGATAAATACACAATTCCACATTAAAAAAACCCTCATGACAGAATTATTTTGGGATTATTCTCATGATGTGTGTGAAGTGCAGCTGAGAGTTTGTTCTCCAGTAATGTCTTGCAGTGCTTTGTCATTCTCATCCTCTCCAAGTTGCTTTATTCCCAGTCGACAGCCTGTGAATGATGGTGAAGTAAATGTGTTTTGAAGCCCACTCTGCAGGACAGGAGTTTATCATTGACAATATCTAACAGAATAACTGAAGTGACACCAGGCGGCCTCCAAA